GTGTGTGTGTGTGTGTGTAAAGTCCAAGGCCTTCACATTGATATGCATCCATGGCCCTTTTTTATTTTGAAAGAGTCTTACTGAGTTGCCCAGTCTGGATTCAAATTGCAATCCTGCCTCAGCCTCTCAGAGTATTGAAATTACAAGCATGCGCCACCATGCCTAGCTACAAAGTACATTAACCAAGTTATTTTCCTTTGTTTAGGTAATAAAGCTACTACAATCAAAATACCATTATAAAGAAGAAGCTGAAATAATCTGTGATAAAGTACAAATTAAACTCAGTAAAGAATGCTTTCATCCTTACAGTATGTGCATTACAGACCTAAGGACTTCCCAATGGGAAGAAGCGATCCAGGAAACAAAAGGTGGTACGCACAACAGGAGATTGGCTGAGGAATGTTATTTCTTGTGGAAATCTACTCGTCTACAGCATATGACCCTAGCTGAAGATGTCAAAGCCATGCTCACAGAACTTCGCAAGGAGGTCCGCCTACTCTTGTTAACAAATGGTGACCGACAGACACAGCGGGAAAAGATTGAGGCTTGTGCCTGTCAGTCCTACTTTGACGCTATTGTTGTAGGCGGAGAGCAGAAAGAGGAAAAACCAGCGCCTTCCATATTTTATCACTGTTGTGATCTCCTTGGAGTACAGCCTGGGGACTGTGTGATGGTTGGTGACACATTAGAAACTGATATACAAGGAGGTCTCAATGCAGGGCTGAAAGCTACAGTCTGGATAAACAAGAGTGGTATCATGCCACTAACGTCCCCCATTCCACATTATATAGTTTCTTCGGTGCTAGAACTACCTGCTCTCTTACAGAATATCGATTGTAAAGTCAATTTGTCTGTTTAAAGCACATAAAAAGGTACAAATTTTAGAGTCTTATTTCCTGGGTTGAAACTAAGAAAAGTTAAGCCATTCCATATATTATGGTTCAGGTTCTAGAAATAATTTGATTTAGGCTTTAATAGCTAATTTGTGAGGGTCTTCTCAACCCCACTGCTTTTTACAACCAACCATCGACTTGTATTTGTTAGATAAAAAGAGCCGAAAACCAGGACCATAACAAGTCTTTATTATGGGGGGGTGGTCTGATGGGCTGTCTCTGAAAAAAGGAAAGAAAGCGATTTAGCTGAGAAAGGAGCGCTTCTTATAGGGCTGGGGTGGGGCTTGTAGGAGCTGGGGTGGGATTGAATGATGTAGTGGCTAGGGATTGGGAGAGCCTGTGACATCACTAGGAGGGGCTTGTGTCAGCACTAGTTACAGCCATTTTAAGGCAAGGGAAATATTTATATCTGAAAATCCAGATTATATTAATACAGGTTACTTTTAGTGCTGTAGTTCAAAAAACTGGAGGAAATACATCATTTTTTCAGTCTGTAACAAGATTTTTAAAAATTGTATTTTTAATCTTTTAGTATTTTGGCTGTATGGTACAAAGCAGGATATCTTATGCCTGGATATGCAAATACAGGTTTTATGGCTTAAAAACAGATACTTTTAAAAAACATATTCTAAATAGATAATACATTTATAGTAGAGATTTATCAGAGCAGTTGGATCTGGATAATATAAAATACTAAATTCTGCAAATCTATACATTTCATAGTAAAATTATTTGGCATTTTAAAACAAACCATATTTTTGCCTGCTTTGGGTGTGTACTTTCTGTTAATCTAATGCTTCTGCATGAGCTTTTTTGAAGGAGTGATTTTTCTGTGCTGTTTACATGACAAGTAGATTGTTAGGGTTAAAAAAATAGCTGTTAAAGTCAACATATGGTGCTTACCTTTTTAGAATGAGCTCAGAGTGTTCTTGTAGTTGTGCCTCTTATGGAAATATTTATCTTTTTCCAGGCACACAGTGGAATTGAGAGGACAAGACTGTTTTGCTGGGGATAAGTTCAAGCCACAAGGCACCAAAAGTCCTCTTCCTCCTGTTTGTCCACAAGAGAACTGCTTCCATGCAGGCTAACCATGTACCCCAGCCCTATTTGTTCTCTAAGAGTTTCACCCATATGATAAAACTAATAGAAAATTAAGTTTTGCTATGAACCGTTTCTACCATGCCATTTTAATATTTGAGTGACTATTAAATCTTAAATCTTTTCCACATTTTCAGAGCCATCATTGTATCTAATTCATCATTATATCTAATTCAAGGTTCATTTTGAGTTTAATCAAAACCTCCAATAGCAAGACATCAGTTTGTAATGAGAAGTTTTCCCAGAATTAGTAGGCTAGACAATCTCATGATTCCACTAAGCAAGGTTGGAGTGAAGCAGTTAATAAAAGATATTACTTGGGGTTTTGTCTTTGTTTTTACATTAAGTACTGATGTAAGATATTGGACTATATGTTTGGATGAGTATAGCTGTAACTCTTAAAAATGATACTCAAAATCAAGTTCTAGACCATATCTGAATCTAAAAGCCAATTTTATGTCTAAAAACTGGGTTCTCTGCGTTGTGCAGATGTTCTTTGTGTTTGCTCTGACTTGATTTTTAAATATACAATTGTGCCTTGACTGCCCTACTGTATTGTTACAATGAAACTAAAGATCTGTGAACAGGGTGTATTTATAATGGTGCCTATATGCTTTGATTGGATTTTAGCTACTAAAAGTTGTTAAAGTTGGGAGGATTTTGGCAAAAATAATTATTGTGCATGATTTCTCTAATAGATTAATTGACATGTAATGCTGAGGCCTCATCCTTTTAACTGTCCCACAGGGTGGACGCGGTAGTGTCACACTCATGCTGACTGGTAAACGTTTGTCATTCCTATGTCATGGTAGCAAATCTCATCAAGACAGCTTCTGGAAAGTTATGTGAACAATTCTTCAGCCAAAACGATTGGGGGAAGATAAGAGATAAAACATCCTTGTCTTCATGGTGTTCCACATTCCATTTGCACCTTCCTCAGGGAAGAACTTCATGCTTTTTACCTTTTAAGTTTAATGTCACAGAAGAAACTTTAAAACTTTGGCATAGATCTATGGTTTTTATTAATAATGTTTTTGGTTTAGAACAATATTCCTTCAAAATTAAACAATGATATAACAGTGGTGTTTGGTAATTTTCTTTTTTTTCCATAGTGGTAGGCTCTTACAAAGCAGAATTTCTCAATGTCCAAAGGCTTTCCCAAATACTAGTTAGAGAAAGGCCTAGAGTAGATGCAATGGACTAATACAAGGTGGACATGTCCCTCGCCTGTGTACATGTCCACCTCATGCACAGACAACTAGTTCTGGGAATGCTGGGTTAGTGCCTTAGGGAAGCAGTTTCTCATAGAGGTACTTGGTTCATGGTTTTCAAACTTTGCAACTCATGATAAACATTTTCCATGGCTGGGTATGTAACTCAGTGATAGAGTGCTTGCCTGGCTTCCATCCTCAGCGCCACACAAAAAAATTATATCACAAACTCTTAAATACTTACAGTGAGCATATTAATGTATATATTAAATATAGTTAAGTTTTACAAAATGTATCCATGCTATATATCATGCACATTTTTCATTCCAATTTTTAAATTCGGAAACGTTTTCATTTTGAAAAAGCACTACTTGAAATACATAAGTCAAAAAGTGGCAAGACCTACCTTCCCTAAAGGCCCCTACATTATCTGCATGTTGGAAGTATGACTGTGGGATTCCTTAAGTTTAGGAGATTTATTTCTGCATTTCAGTTTTAGGAAACAGTCTGGCTGAGGATGATTCATAGAGGGTCATGAAGCTTCTGTTTAAGTTATTTGTGTTAGGAACACAGCATCTTTATGGTTTCAGCCACGAGAGATCCATCTGGTCAGTAAAGGAGCTGGTTCCCTGGACTCTGCCACTCGGAGCCCTGGTCCCTGCCTCTGGCTGACCTGGTGGCCCAGTACCTGCTGCATAGCCCATCCTGGTGGTTCTCTGCTCTTGGGTTGGATTTCTTGTTCCCATTGTGTTCCTTTCATTTATTCTCTCTTTGTGATATGCATTCTTGTATAGGTTCTCTGTAAATGTATGTGGGGATAAAGTGAGACCTTAGTGATGCCCTTATGTATTTGGATACCATTCTTGTGGGCAAGTCAAAGGACTTAAGTCTACGGTCTTCTAGCAGTCATATGTGAACAGTTTCTTCTCTTTTTTCCTCTTAGAGCTTTGGTTTTTCTCCAGTGGCCCTGGTGTTGTGCTTTGGCAAAGGTACATTCTCATCCCATATGCTTGACTTTCTGAACCCTTTTAGTCAAAGCTTCACATTTGTTAGTGCTGAGAAATGAATGTATTTTAATAGCTGCCTTCCCTGTTTTGTTTTTGAGGGGATTCCCCCACCACTACCCCAATTTCTCTTTCTGGAATTCCCATGTTAGACTTCCTCCACTTTGTTTTTTCTCTCCTGTTTTTCCTTCTGTTATTTTAACTTTTCTGAGAGGTTTCTTTGAGGAAGGAGATACCGGGGATTTAACCCTGACCCCTCACTCATGCTAGGCCCACCCCTAAGCTATATCCTTGGTGCTTTTTTTTTTCTCTTCTAAGACAGGGTCTCACTATTTAGTCTAGGTTGACCTTGAACTCATTGTATCGCCTAGGCTGGCCTTACAACTCTTGATTCTCCTGTCTCAGCCTCCAGGATAGCTGAGATTACAGGGATGGACCACCATGCCTGGCTTTCTTCAACTTTTATCTTCCAATGATTCTAGTAGTTTTTATTCCCCTGATTGCTATCATATTTTTTCATTTCAAAAAGCTTTGAAAAATGTTCTAAATGCTCCTTCGCCTATTTTTTTTTTTTTCCTGAGAAACAGTCTGATTTACAGATAAGATACTTGGCTCAAAATCTTTTAAAGTCACAGGAGACTGTCTTTAACCACTAGACAATGTAGGAAATGCTAACAATGCAAAATAGTTCACATTTAACATTTAGTTTTTAGTGCTTATAGGAATCATTGGTCATTTTACTGGTGCTTCGAGTTTAGCAAATTTACCAGTTTAGATTGGCACACACGTCATCAGCCCATTGGCATCTGTGGTCAGATGCCGATGAGATGTTGCCAATGTAACTTGCTCCACAACAGCTCTCTCAGCCCCACACTCCTGCATCCATGCATCGGTGTGGTCCAGGCTGCCTCCTGACAGCAGGCTGTGTTGCACTTGAGTGGTCTGGTGTGCATGGCAGACACTCAGCATTTGTTGACTGAAGGATGATTGCCTATTTCAATTAAAGTTTTTTCTAAGTAAACAAAATTCCCACTTCCCTTAATCAAGGGACAGTTCATCGACTAGTTGATGTCTCAAGTTTACTTTTGGGGCCGGGGATTTAGCGCAGTGGTTCTGCCACCTGCCTCGCAAGCTCAAGGATCAGAGATTGATCCCTGGTACCAAAACAAAAAAAGTTTACTTTTTCCCATCACGCATTGAATTGTCTTTCCCAGCATCCAGCAGAGCAAACAGAACTCTGTGATACAGTGATGCTGCTGCTCATTTGTGACTGGCCAGTGTCCAGGAAGCAGCTGGTAATCTGCATTGCCTTGCTCATTGGAAATGATGGTGGATGGATCATTGAATGCTTAGAAATGCCCATTTATTTGAAAGATCCATTTAATGGAGAAAAATTTTTTCAATACAGTTTACAAACTAGTGTCTGAAACTTAGGATGGGAAATAACTTTAGTAGAATCTGAAATGTGCCTTTATTAGGAAAGGCTTTTCTTTTATGTGAACCTTATAGGTCACTGATGGCAAACCTAGAGCTTTCAATAACAGAAACAGCCTGCTGCACCACGAGTGCCATAGGTTCACCACCACTGCTAGTATAGGGCATTTATTGAAGGGAAATAAGACAAAAGGAAGGCATGTGCCTAGCATGCAAGAGGCTCTAGGTTTGAGCCTCAGCACTGCAAAAGTAGCTGCAGTCAGTTGAAGAGAAACTAAAAGAGAGCAATACAAAAGCAGTTACTAGAGGTGGAGATTTAGCTCAGTGGTAGAGTACCTGGACACCCTGAGTTTGATCTTCAGTACTATAAAAAGGGAAAAAAAGATAAATCAAGGACTTTCAGTAATCTATTACTAAAAACCCACATGTAACTCCCCAAACTTAGTGGATTAAAGTAACAGCAATCTTGGTTTTGAAGAAGTTTTGAAATGGCCACAGTCATAAGCTTGCAGTTTGTGCTGGCTGTACGCAAGGAGCCCAGCTGGGCTGTATGACCCATGCCTAGAACAGACTGACTTGCCATGAGGTCCCAGAGCCTTTCCATGGGGTTAAACTGGCTTCCTCTCATCATGGCGGCTGGGTTCCAACCAGGGGCACTGCAAGGCGGCAGAACCCAGGGAGTAAATACTAAGCCTCAGTTTGCAACATGCTGTCTAATATCTCCTTGGTAAGAGCTAGTCACAGAAACTAAGTCATTACTTCTCTGAGTATGGCGGGTTCTGGTTTGACCACATCACTGAGCAGCCAAGAGAGGGAAGAAGATAAGAGACTTGTTTGCTCAATGTGAAGAAGCAAGCTGCATCCCAGCACATGTATTTCTGTTTCTATTTATAATATTTATAATAATAAAATGAGCCACTGAACCTACTTTCTTAGCTAAGAGCATTGCGGCTCAATTTGACATACTAAGTTGAGTTACTTTACTAACATTCTGAGAAATCTGAAAAAATGATACATCTTCCTCCTCCAAAATATGTTGAATTGATATTCAGTAAATTTATACAGTAATAATTCAGTAAAATTATTTCAGGAGTCCATAACTCCCCACCCCAAACACACACCCACACACCCACCCACACACACACACACACACACACACACACACACACACTTCTCTATCTACCCATAGGCCCTCTGAATAAAACCCTGGCTAATTGGTTGGTGTCTAATACCTTTATCACACTTGCTAAATTCCTAATAATTAGGGATGTCTATTTTATCTTTTTGTGTATCTGTCAGCCTCAAAGTCTGTAGCTGAAAACAATAAAACCAGTCCAACACATTAAGGAGGATTACCACAAGTTCAAGGCCAGCCTGAACTACATAATGAGACCCTGTCTCAAACAAACATACAAACTAACAAAAAAGAATGTCAAATAAGGGAATGACCTGCAGAGGTGTGGCTACTAAACTGGGAGCTGAAGTAACGGAACACTTGTTTGGGCTGAAAAGGGTTTTTTGAGGACCAGGTCCCATGGGTCCCTTCTCTTTCACCCTGGCAGGTTTTAACCCAACAGAGGAACTGTCTGTTGACATTAAGGCCCTAATATGAAAAACAGAGGGTGACAAATGATAAATTTATTACTGTATTAGAAAGGTATGATGAAACCTCACAAGATTGTGGTATGGAGCTGATCAAAATTACCTGGGGAGTTTGCCTTGTGGCTGGGAATCATGAAGCTGAACAAATGCACAGAAATACTGCACTCTAGGTTGTAATATACGATTTTGAAAGCACTTTCCATCTATATGAGGGCCAAATAGATAAGTAAATAAATGTGAGAAGGGGGAGCCAGATTTCTTACTGTCCAAGGAAAACAAAGAAGAGGAGACTGCTAGAATGAAGCCTATAGTGTAGGAGTTAAACTGGAGCATCAGTGCGAACTTATGTTTAGTTTAACAGCCATATAGGGAGGTTGGTAGGCAGGCAGTGGATAAATATACAGACTAAATAGATATTAATAGACATGTCTGTATACATAAATATTTTATACACATTACTTGAGCCTTTCCACTGAAAACCCTGGAAGTAGTGACTCCCAATAACAACAAACACAATTCCAGTCAGATTTTTGGCTTCTAGATAGGATTCTCCAGTGAAAGGAATCAGGGCCCCTGGGAGACATGGCTTGATATGAGGACTGGGACAAGGAAAATATAAGAGAACCTTGGAATATTGTATGGTGTCAAAGACTAAGTAAAAGGTGAGGGTATCCCAAGGGGACCAATCTGGATGAGTGAGTACCCAGTGGCTAAATCTGGGACAATCTGACCAATGAAATAAATAACATAGCTTAAGGTTACAATCAAGTGCATAAGGTAAAACGTACAG